AACTACCATAGACGTGGAGGCTTAAAACACAGCAAATTTATCCTCTTACTGTTCTGGAGGGCGGAGGTCCACAGTCATTCTCCCTGGGCTGAGGTCCAGGTGTTGGCAGGGCTGACTCCTGGAGATTCTAGTGAAGAAGCTGTTTCCTTGCCTTTTGCAGCTTCTAGAAGCCAGTGGCTCTGGGCCTCCTCTTCCACCGTGAAAGCCGGGAACGTCCTTCTCAAGCTGCACTCTCTCATCTTCTCCCTTCTGCTTCCCCCTTCCTCTCATGAGGACCCCTGTGACTATCACGCTGGGTCCACCCGGACAATCGGGGATAGTTTCCCGTCTTGGGTCAGTTGATAGCCACCTAATTCCCTCGGCAAACTTCATCCCCCTTTGCCACATCACCTAACACATCCACAGGTTCTGGGGATTAGGACATGGACATCTCTCGGGGACCATTGTTCTTCTGACCGCACGCCCACCTGCCATGCCCAAGACTTCCAACTTTCTCACTTCCAAACCTTGGTATTGTCAGGCCGTTGTAATGGTGCCAAATGGAACAGATATCAAATGGTGTTTCATTATGGTTTTAATGTGCATTTCTCGGTTTATAATGAGGTTGAACACTTTTCATGTTTTTCTTGGCCTTCTAGTTTCCTTTGTGAATTAACCTCTACATATCCTCTTCCCCATTTTTCTCATTTTTTTCATTGATGTGTAGGAGTTCCTCAAATGTGGACACTAGTTTTTGGTGAGTGGTAAGTTACAGGGTTTGCGAGTGTCCCTTCCCCAGCTGAGGCCTGTCTATAAATTTGTTGATGGTGTTTTGGCTGAGCGCAGGGTTTTGGGTCAATGTCATCAAATTTAGGCATCTTTTCGTTTACGATTTGTGGGTTTTAAAAAATCATATTTGGAGAGCTCCTATACAGCCTGCTATTATACAGCTATTCCTTATTGTTATTAGCAGTTTAGCATCTTTGCCTTTTGCCTCGAGGTGCCCGTGATACTTGCCCTTGTGTGGGAGGAGAGCTCTGCTGCTGATTCTGGGTGCCTGTCCCCCATGACCATCTTCTCACCGCTGTGGATGGACTGCTCTTTCCCACTGGCCTGTGCTGGCTCCGGCTCTGTGGGCAACAGGTATGTGAGGTCTCCACCTGGGGACACAGCAAGTCTCTTTCACGGTTTGTTTCTTCATCCTCTGTGCCACGTAAGTCAATTCTGCAGCTTTTGAAAAAGGCTTGATAATGACTCTCAGCCAAATATCGCAGCTTTTCTTCTTCGATGCTGTCTCGGCCATTCCAGCTCTTTATACTTGTGTGTGAATCACAGGATCATCTTGTCCAGTGAAAAGCCTCTGCTTGGTTTCAATGGAATTGCTTTTCAATTTATGGGCTGACTTGGGGAATTACGACTATCTTCATGACAAGTCTTCACGTCAGTTAACCTAGTTCTAGTCTAGGCACCTCAGCAAGTTTTTAATTTTTTTTCTTAAAATTATGCCCATATTTTCTTACATGTATCCCTATATGCCTTTTCTGTATAATAAATAAAATTGGAGTTTTAAGTGAGGTGCATGCACCTGTATGTATGTTACTGTGTTTATTTTGTATCCAGCAGCCTTATTAAAGCCTCTCATCAGTTTTAGGAGTTCGCCTGTGGGTTCTGTTGGATTTTCAGTGCCTGCAGTCAAACCAGGCAGAGTGTCTGTTTGAACCCAGTAAATAACACTCCTCTTTCCTACCCAGGGTTTGAAGCAAAAGCAAAGTCAAAATTTAAGCAGCCAAAGGTTGTACTATCAGTTCTATTTGAGAAAATACTGGTATTATATCTGCGGAAAAGTGGGCTACCCAATATTGAGCCGTGAATTCACAGATTTGCCCACCTGATCCGCAGAAGATCCTGCTGGGATGAGGGCCTTGTCACTCAGCTGCCCACATGGCTCAGGAGAACAGTTTGAGTGGCTCCCAACAGCAGAGGAGAAGGAAAGGGCAGGGCTGCTGCCAGGGCCTGAGCACACGCTTGGGACTCAGTGCCAAAGGGAAGATGCTGAGCTCCTTGTTCCACAAGCAGGGCCCGGTGCTGTGAAAGGCACTTGAATATAAAGCATCTTCCTTTCATTCCGTGGTTTCTTCCTCAACTTGTCAGGATGTGTATTTGCTATTTAATGTCATTCAAAGTATAGAAAATTAAAATTTTAAATTACGGGCATGAATTTTGCTGTTTGTCTTTATACTGCGGGCCAGTGTTATAAAATTATAAGTTGTGTGCAGAATCATTGAAGCTGCAGAATCGCAGAGTCGTTGAGGCTGCACGGTGCGTCTGTAGCTCTCACGCGCATTTGCATTTTATTCTTACCAGAACCGTGCAATGCTCCAGGTGAACCTGACGTGCACGCCCCACCTGCAGGCTGCACCTCCAGCTCGCTGACAGGTAGGGAAGGACTAGGAGCGGAGGAGTGTGGTCATCCTCTTCCCCTTTCCTCTGTGTCCTCACACCCAGTCCAAGTGAAAAGGCGAGCATTTGGGGACAGATGTGCCAGGACTCCTGGCACTCATGTTTCTCAGGATGGCATTGCCTTCTCTCGTGTTAGATGTAGGTTCTGGTTTGAGAGGAAAGTGTGGCCTCTGAGACTGTTCTGCTCAGTGGTAAATGCTACACGCTCACGGTGTGGGTGCTTCAGGTCTGGCTGCACAGCTGCCATCGCAGGTCTGTGCTCATGGGCATCGTGGCTGCTCTGTGGGGACCGGGAGGCAAGGAGCAGTAGCAGACGTGCGTGTTAGATGGACCTCCTCTACTCACAAGCAATCTCTGTCATCCCTGGGGACGTCACTTACAGAACACAAGTTCAAAGACAAAATTATCAAGAATTTCAAGACAGCAATGACAGAGCACTACACTAAACTGGTGGCTGCACTGACTGACCAGTCACAGGCTGGAAGTTGAGTCCTGGCCACAGGCCCAGCTTCTTCTCCCGACATCATCGGCCCCCCTCTGCCCCCTGAGTCACTCTGCTTTCCCCACAGTGAGTAGGTGGCAGCTGCAGAGAAGTGTCCAGAAAAGACTGCTGGTCAGTGAAATCTCCTTTACGTGGAAAGTCGAAGTGAGGGAGTAATGGACATTTTGACTGGAAATTCCAATCCTTCTACTTTCTGTGCGTTTTTCTAGCATGACTGCAAGTGCTGGAGCCACCAGCACCATGTTCAGCAGCACCCAGGAAGCAAGAGCAGTTGACAGAATGTTCGTGAGGATTCCTTTTGGGTTTTACTTTTTTAAAGCCTCTTCTAATCTCATAATTTCTGTGATTTTGGGTAAATACCCTATGATCATAAGGTAAGGAAAAGTTAACCTTTTTAGGTTAGGAAAAGTTCTAATTCGCATGCATATATATTATTGCAAAATGGTGTGAACATTTAATATTTTTTGAGATCATTGATATTTTTCATTTACTATGTTAATAAGATGAATCCCATTAACAAAATGTCCATGGCTAAACCAATTGTGCATTCATGGGATGAACAATGTTTGGTGATGGGGTTTTTGTTTGTACTTTTAAGTGGTACTTAAACGTAACTAGGGAGAAGATAAGCTCCAGAGCACCCAGCACAGCTCCAGCAGACTCAGTCAATTGCCCGTCTTCTCATTTACCAAACCCATGTGGCCACCCCCACCTCAGATGGATTTTTTTTGCAAAGTCCAGACATTCAATTATTTATAATGTGTCTTTTTAGGACACTGCCGAAATTAGGTTGTAAATGTTTTTTAGGATTGTATCTTATGTTCATAGAAGAAATTGGCCTATGAAATTTCTCTCGTATAATACTCACATCTGGTTTTCGTCCCAAAGCTAAACCAGCCCATAAAAGCAGCTGTGATGGTTTTCTTCTTCTTATATTTCAATAAATGGTATGTAAAAGACAGGAATCATATGTTCACTCAAAATTTGTGGACCTGATTGTGTAACCATCTGGGCCTTGGAGGGTTTTTGTGAATTTTTAAACATTTACTCTCTTAAATGCTTACGTCTCACCAAGTTTCTCTCTCTATATTTTTAAGTCGGCTTGCAAATGTATGCTTTACTAGGAAATCTTCTATTTCATCTAAATTTTTAAGTTTAGTAAAACAAAGTTGCACACGCGTTTCTCTTAAGATTTGAAACATCATTACCATGGATGCGACTATATTGTTTTCATCCGTAGCATTGCTTTTTTCCTGCTTTCCCCATTTTCTGCCTCTGATCAGTTTTAGCCCAGGGTGTACCAATATTATTCCTTTCACTAAAGGAATTGTTTCTGTCTTTTTCTAACTTTATTTTTTTAGATGATCTTGCCAGCAGTGCGTTAATACTGCCCATTTTTCCAAAGAACCGGGTCTGATTTGCACTGGTGTCTCTATTTTTCCTTCATATCCTATTTCACTAATTTCTGCTCTTGCTTTCATTATCCCCTTCTTTTGGTTTTCTGTGGAATTACTCTGTGTTTCCAAATTGTTTGCTCAGCTAATGGGTTTTCAGTCTACGTACCATGTGAGCTGGCTTCGACAACTTTAGTATGGAGTGTTTTTGTTGGCATTAATGAGTAAATTGTTTTTCGTTTTCATTATTCTTTCTAATTTGACCATAAATTATTTAAAAGGTCTTTGTAAACTTCCAACCCGAAGAGGTTTTGGTGAATTGTCTTTTTGTTATTATTTTCTAAAGTACTGTGAGGTCAAACCCTCTAGACTAGATGCTGACGATTCCTGTAGTTTTGTGGTTCTTGTGTTTGTTGAGACTTCCCTTGTGATCTCCTGGGGTAAGTTCTCAGAGATTCTCCCTGTGTGCTTGTTGCTGGCAGGGTTTCAACCGCATTGATGAAAAGGGGAGCCCTTCACTTCCTCTGTGTGTGTACATATTTATTATCTGCTTGCAGGTATGATGAAATATGTTGCTATGACTCTAGATTTGTGCATTTTTCTTTGAATGTTATCCCTTTGTGCTTTATATAGTTGAATACTGTCTTGTTAGGTCTGTACTTTAGAAGTGCTTTTTTTTTTTTCCCCCCCTGAATGGCTCTTTTTATCATTACACGTTGGCAGTTTATGTCCCTAATAATGCTTCTTTCTCTAAATCCAGTCCAGCCTGTCAGGTTATTATAACACCCTCTCTTTGGTCTTTGCATTTTCCTGTTAGCTCTGCTCATATCCCTTTACATTCTGCCTTTCCGTGATATTGTGTTTTAAGTGTGTGTCTCTCACACTTTAATAGCTAGTTAGATTCATTTACAATCATTTAATTTATTTAAATTTATTTCCAATACCTATTTTATGTTTGCTCACGATCATACTTTTTCTTTGTTTTGTCCACGAGTTTGATTATAATTTCTTAAATTCTTTTTATTCTCTCTACTAGTTGGAAAAGTATGTATTTTATTTCAGGAGTTGTTTTTACATATTTTGACACACATATTTGTCTCAAGAAAGTTTAAATTTATGACAATTTTTTTTCTTCTTTCATGCAATGCAAATACCACAGAATGCTATCAATCCATAGACACCTTGTCCAGCCTCCTATGCTATTACTCTCTGTGCTTTAGTTCCATCATGCCTCATCGCCTCCATGGACAGCATCACTCTTGGTGTGATCATTCAGTCTTCCTTGAATCAGCCCTCCATGGATGACATAGTTATTGGAATGATCGCTTAGTCTTCCCTGGATCAGCCCTCCATGGATGGCATCTCTCTTGGAGTGATCGCTCAGTCTTCCCTAGAATCAGCCCACCATGGAGGACATGGCTGTCAAAGTGATCGCTCAGTCTTCCTTGGATCAGTCCTCCACGGATGGCATCTCTCTTGGAGTGATCGCTCAGTCTTCCCTGGATCAGCCCTCCATGGATGGCATCACTGTTGAAGTGATCGCTCAGTCTTCCCTGGATCAGCTCTCCATGGATGGCATTGCTGTTGAAGTGATCGCTCAGTCTTCCTTGGATCAGCTCTCCATGGATGACATTGCCCTTGGAGTGGTTGCTCAGTCTTCCCTAGAATCAGCTCTTTAATTGGCTTTTGCTGATTTACCAGATGGTCAAAAACAAGGATATAGGAAGTGAAAATTAGATTAAGATGAACAAGCATGTTATAACTAAAATGAAGGAGAAAATAAATAATGGGAGAAAAAGAAAAACTTAGAAGCAAATTATCCTATCTACCTACCTATGTATCTATCTATCTATCTATCTATCCATCCATCCATCCATCTTTCTATCTATCAGCTTTGAATAGAAAGGGGAGAACGTTAATGCTTCATTTGAGACCCTTTTTGGGGTTAATAGCACCAATCCCCTCAGTTCAAAGGTCAACATCAGGGAGCTGCTGGATTCAGAAACTCCACTACTGAGTCGGGACAATCTGTGCTTAATGCAAACACAGAGGGGCGAAGCCAGGCATCTGCAGAGTTGCGATGGGGTCACAGTGGCCAGGAGGAGTGACAGTTGTGCTCCCAGTCCAGCCAGCAGATAACCTCCTGTCCCTGAGGAATCATAAGCCACAGCTGTGGATGGGGTTTCTAAGTCCCTTCCTTCCAGATGAGCACTCCTCTCCCTTCCCCACCCGCGTCACATCATCTCCTGGCTCTGTTTGTGCTGAGAAGTCTCTCAGGGCCAAGCATGTGGTAAGGCCAGAGGTTTTGGACATTCATCCGTGCTCGAGGTCATGAGGTCTCAGGCTATGGGCACAGGGCGATCCTCTCCCCTCAGCTGCTGAAATACAGCCAGAGATAAAGCAGGCATGAGTTTCTGCCTTCAAGAATGAATGTCCCTGGGCAGAAGTGGGCAGTCAAGGGAGAAAGGCCAGGGAGAAGAGTGGGCCACCAGGTCCCGGGAGGGACTGACCTGCTCAGGACAGAGGTTGTCAGTGTGAGGCTGCGTCCTGGCCATTCTCAGGGCCTCCCATATTTCCTCCCACCCTCCACACCCCAGTGAACACCTCAAATGGCCCCAGGCTATGCAAACAGCCAAGATGTCAGAGTCCCCTGGGTGCAAGGAGGGGGACAGGCAGGTCCACGTGGGGGCAGGGAGACCACAGCCGTCTCCATGCAGACGCTCTGCCCATTCCACGGGTCATCTCCTGAGTGCCATGTGGGGAGACCAGGTCCTGCCATGAGGAAAGCAGAGGCATGTGTCCCCTGGGATGGCCGCCATGTGGTCAAATGTGAGTCTGCCGGGGCTGCGAGGACTGAGTCCACAGACAGGGCCTTAACACTGTTGCTGGCTGAGCACCCAATATCCAAATGCTGGCAGCACTGGCTGCTCCTGGGGCCTTTCTCTGTGGCTTGTGATTGCTCATGTATTCCCTTGCTCTGTCAGCGGAGAGGGCCTGGAACCATCGCCCTGGTCAAAGCAAGCACAGCCAACATCCACACCTTGGTCCCTAAACCACTCTCCTGCAAAGGGAAGAATGGCTGGTTCCAGGAGAGAGGCAGGAAGACACAAGATGGACCTGAAACGTTTCATCTCCCTCCCTCCTCAACATCCAATAAGGACCGTGGGCATGGCTGCACAACAAGGAAATAAGTGCACTTAATGCCCCTGAGTGGTGCACTTAAGAAGACCCAAAACGAGATTGCAGTGAGTCGAAATTGCACCACTGCACTCCAGCCTGGGCAATAAAATGAGACTCAGTCTAAAACAAAAAAGAAAAAGAGCCAAACTGCCAGTCTAGTTAAGTAGATTGCATTAGCATTCCCCAGAGAAACAGACAGCAGGATGTGTGTGTGAGTGTGTGAGCCTGTGTGGTGGGGGAGGGGATGTGCAGAGAGAGAGCTGGTAAGGAATCAGCTCACATGGCTGTGGAGGCTGGCAGGTCCACATTCTTATTTATGTACTTACTTATTTTGAGACAGAGTCTGACTGCTGGAGTGCAGTGGCTTGATCTCAGCTCACTGCAACCTCAACCTCCCGAGTTCAGGTGATTCTTGTGCCTCAGCCTCCCAAGTAGCTGTGATACAGGCATACGCCACCACACCTGGCTAATTTTTGTATTCATATTTTTAGTAGAGATGGAGTTTCACCATGTTGGCCAGGCTGGTCTTGAACTCCTGGCCTCAAGTGATCTGCCTGCCTCAGCCTCCCAAAGTGTTGGGACTACAGATGTGAGCCACCATGCCTGGCAGTATTCTCCTGGGTGGGCTGGGAGGCGGGAGGCCCAGGGAAGCATTGATGTGTCTCATATTAAAAGGGCATCTGGAGGCAGAATGTCTCATTCCTCTTTCCTTACTCAGGGGACTGCAGTCTTTTTTCAAGGCCATCAACTGATTGGATGAGGCCCACCTACATTACAAGGAAATCTGCTTTTCCGAGTCCACAGACCTACATGTTAATCTCATCTAACTATACCTTCCCAGAAACATTTTGAATAACATTTGACCAAATATCTAGGCACTATGGCCTAGCTAATTGGTTACATAAAATTAACCATCACATATGTTTTACCACAATAAAAAAAATCAAATATATTTCCCTGATATTTTTGAATGATAGTCATCCTAATAAAACTTCTAGTCTGCTCAAGGCGGGAAAACTAAACCAGCTATACAGAGATAAGCAGCTGGTATGGACTAATTCATACTAAGATGTAAATGACTTTCGGTTCCAGTTCCAGTGATTTGTCTCCCCGACACCCCCAGGGTGGCCGCCTAACTTAGTTTTGCACATTTGGGCCTTACTCTTCCATCTCTGAATTTTCTCAGAAGCTTCTTTACTCCCCAAATAAAATTATCCTAGGAAAATTTTAGCATAAAATATACTGGGGCTGGGAAGTTGATCCAGCACTCCCCAGGAACCCCAGGAACACCTCGGGGCCAGCCACTCGATCCACTGCATGGAAGGGTGAGCGCGGCCACCTTGTCCCTGAGCAGAGGTGCGGCCTCCTCTCACCCTCATAGACACGTACTGGTAATTCCCAGGCAGCGGGTCGGCTAGCCACCCCACAGATGAGGAAGAGCTGTCCTCCCTCTCTTTGGAGAGTATTTATCCCTGGGCAGTAGAGCTTGTCTGTGATGAAAGGGTTATCCTAGCTGCTGGACACAGAAACTCCGTATCTCCGGGGATTCCAGGAGCTTCCCACACGCCACATGTCGGGGTGGCCTATGAATATTCGGTACCTCACAAAATTCCCAACATTGAAACGCACACCTTCAAAACACATGGCCTTTCAGGAGCCATGTCACTGCTTACCGTAAATATGTGTAGAGTAGCAGAAAGAAGATGATTTGTTTAAAACTCCAGAATAACTTAAATATCCCACTGCTGATAACAGAGACGGAAGACTAGAGAGCTTTTCACGGCTGGTCCTTCAAATGTCACAAACAAGCGTTGTTACTTAGAGAGCTTTCACCAGCCTCTTCTCCAGGCTAGTTCAAATATGTGCAAAATGGCTCTGAGGCTCTGACTTGTGTGTCAGTGCAAGGGGGGCTTAGAAACCTTCTGCTGAAGAAGTCGACGATGCCGCAGGGCACAGGCAGTTTACAAAAGACTTTAGCAAATTTCATTTGATCCAGAAGGGGTGGGAGTCATCATCCCCTCCCCACACATGCCTCTTTGTTTGCTTTTGTTTTTGTTTTAACAGATGAGGGAATTAGGGCTTAGAAGGATGACTTATTTTTCTGGGATTGCATAGGAACCAGCGCCAGCGGAGCCCCACCTCCCAGCCTCGCATCCTGGCCACCTCCAAGCTCCTGGAACTCAAAGACTCCTGACAACAAACTTCCCAGCCCATTTATGTTCTGCCCAACTGGAAAGGGTCTACGTGCAATCTGAGACCTCTTCGCTATTTTCCTTTATTTGATTCCATGCAACACAGACGTTGAGTGCCGGCTGTGGGTGACCCGGGCATGGTGATAATTTATGCAATCATGTTAAGGAGGACGGATTGTCTCCTGCGGTTCCAGCTCTTGGCTTTAGGAAGTGCTCAGGAGATGTGTGGAAACTCATTCAGGAAGGTCATGGTCCCGCACGTGCGTGGCCAGTGTGGGCGCCGTGGTGGTGGAGAAACGTGCGCGAATGCTACAGGCAGGTGGTTCTGGAAGCTGACTCAGTGGCCATCCCTCTAATGACCAGTCCTGAAGGAGAGGCAGCGTCCCCGCCCCCTGAGAGAAGGGGTTTGCGGAACTGAGTAACTGAGTTACACCCACAATCCTAAGAGCCCTTGTCTGCCCAGGTTTTCCTACTCTATCTAATTGGCTTGGTCAGTCACCACGGGAGGGAGCTGGGCCCCAGGGGCCCATGCTTGGCCTTCCCTCCTACTTGGATCCCAGTTCCCTGACGGCAGGTTCAGAATACCTGCCGCTGAGAGACAGGGCAGCTGTGCTCAGACTGCGTTTGTGAGGGGTGTGGCCCGAGGTCTTAGGCTGGGGCTGATCCTGTGGCCCACCCCTCCTGCCTCCACCCAGGAGTAAGGGGGGCGGGGACCAGACCCATGTGAGCTCGGGTTTCTCCACACATGCAGGGTCTCATCTGGGACTTGACCCAAACCTAGAAGGTGCCATTCCGCTGTGCCCAAGAATGGGACTGACCTGCCGCTTCAGACGCAGGCCCTGCATGGCCAAAGGCCAGGGGCACAGCTGAAGATGGTCATGAGGTGACAGAAATCCCGGGGCTTCCCGATTCCTGGAGAAGTCCTGCAGGGTCAGGCAATATCTCCTTAGGTTCCCCTGGGTTCCTGTATTTGCTTCTCCCCACTCAGACAGCTGTTTTCTCAAAGACCTTGTCTCTTCATTCAGCCAATTCCAGAACAGGGTCACAGGTCGCCAACGTGACAGTCAGCAAGCTGTGAGCACTCCTGTCTTTTTCTCTCCTCCTCTGCATCCTGCCGGTACCTGTGCAGATGAAGCACCGAATCATGCAGCTCACCTTCCTCCCTGCCTCCCTCGCTGCCAGCCCCCCCCACATCTCACAGGCCCTGCCTCTCTGCCGCTGGGCAAGACAGGATGGGGAGCTGGCACGGCGCACGCACACGCACTCCCACCGCCTGCACCCCAGGGGACGTGTTAATCCCTCTCGACACCTTCCTTCTATTTAACGACTTGTAAACTGCTTACATTTGGGCATGTTTCACTTTTCTTTCCCTCCCCTTGTGCTTTGCCACAACAGGAAGAAATGGCTCCCATAGGCCTCCCTCGGTGCTGTGTTCCTGCAAAGGGGAGCTCCGTCTTCTGCGGGCAGGCAGCGCTTTCCCGCCTGAAAACCATGCTGCCTTAAAACAGGCTTCCTGAAAAAATGGTGTAGAGATCCTGATATTTCCAGCAAGAAGGAAAATGTCACCTGGAGAGGTTTCACTATAGGGAATGAGGATCACAAGACTAAGGACTTGGCTGCTGACTCAGAGTCACGTGGAGACCCTAGACCCCCAGGACCACCGCCTTACACTGCTGTCTCCACCGCACTGTCTGGCAGGGTGGCAAGGACAGAGGCATCCCTAAGGCAGGCCGTGCTCACATCCCCCCGTCCTCCGTGGGCCCCGATGCTACACTCTCCAACCCAGGGCTGTCTTTTACTCCTGCCCCCAAATCACACATCTACCCCAGAGCCTCTTCCAGGCATGAAGCCAGGGACCTGCAGCTGCTGTGCCCAGGGCATCCCCATGGCAGGTGTGGATGCTTTGTGCAGGATCCAGGGGCCATGTCCAACCCCACAACGGCCTTAGGATTTCCTCCAAGTAGAATAGAAAAGGGAGGTGAGGAAGACAGCGGCCGGTGCAGGGAGCTGGTGCTTGCGCAGGTTGTTGAGATGCAGCCTCCCAGACCTTCTCTGTGCTGACTGGAAACCGCAAATGGCTCAGGCACAACGGCTTAACCATTTCTAGCAATGTCAGTGACGCTATGACAGACCATGAGATGAAAGGACAGATGGCCATCCTGGTGGCTATTGACAGATGAGAGCATTGCAAGTGTGGTATCTTGGTGTGGGGTGCCCCATCCTGTGTAGCTGCTGATGCCGGCTATCGCAGACGCTGTCAAGCAGACCACCCTGGTTGCACACATGATTCAAAGCATGGGTGTGGATGTGGTTTTGAGCACGGGGGACAACCGGAAGACAGCCAGAGCCATTGCCACCCAGGTTGGCATCAACAAAGTCTTTGCAGAGGTGCTGCCTTCACACAAGGTGGCCAAGGTCCAGGAGCTCCAGCACAAAGGGAAGAAAGTCACCATGGTGGGGGATGATGGGGTCAGTGACTCCCCGGCTTTGGCCCAAGCAGACATGGGCATTGCCATTGGCACCAGCACGGATGTGGCCATCGAGGCAGCCGACATCGTCCTCATCAGAAATGGCTGGCTAGACGTGGTGGCTGGCATTCACCTTTCCAAGAGGACTGTCTGGAGGATACGCATCAGCCTGGTCCTGGTGCTGATTTACAAGCTGGCTGGGATACCCATCATGGCAGGTAGTTGGTTTCTTCCTGAAGGAGCGAGCTTTCCGGATGAGTTGAAGATACGTGCGTGCACGGGAGATGACCGCTCACTGCAGGGCAAGGCATCATCCGTGTTGAAGGAGTACCAGTGTTTGAGAAATGGACACAGAGCAGGTACATTTGATGGAGAGGTAAGAGGATCACTGTCTACGTGCCAGCGCTGTTCTAAGTGCCCTGGATCTTCTGGGAATGAGGTTAGCGTTTTTCAGTTGTACATAGGACGGTTGAGGATCAAGATAGGCAGAGGTGAGCCCTTTCGTGGAAGGAGTTAATCTAAAAACCATAATCTGTCTCATTTGGGAGGAGCTAAATAAATAGCTCTTCAATGAAGTAAAGGTCAATCGGAAAATTTGTATTTTAGCTATAAAATTACCTACCAGAATTTACCATGGGGCATAATCTTAGTCAAGCACCCAAACTGATGATTTCAGACCACAGATACTGAAACACCAACAGGATAAGGTGGCAGGTATTTCAGTTAGCTACTGCTGCATAACAAATGACCCCAAAGCTTAGTGACTGAAAATCATGGTTTGTTATTCTTTATCATTCTGTCAGCTGGGAGATTCTTCTGCTGGCCTCATGCACAAGGCTACATTTAGCTAGGATGTCAGCTTGTGGATGGGCATAGCTGGGATGCTGGGTCACCTGAGTCTTTCTCCTGATGTGGAATTGTTTTAAAATACAGATTTCAATGCTGCCTCAGGATGTAAAGTGTAACGAGGAGGCCGGTGTGGGCCGCATGGACTTGTGAGGCCTGTGGGTGCCTGCATCCCCAGCTCCCCCCGCAGCTGGCTCCGCAGTGGTCCGCTCCACTTGCCAGGTGGGGATCCGGGTTCCAGATGGAATGCTGCGCGTTCTCCACCGTTTGTTGTGGCTACGGTTACTGCAGCAACCGCCAGAGCAGCCTTGGCGCTACGGAGGAGCCAGGGGCTACTCCTCAGCCGTACCTGGGACTGATCCCGGAGTGCGGAGGAGCCAGGGGTTACCCCTCAGCCGTAGTTGAAGCTGATCCTGGAGTGTGGAGGAACCAGGGGCTACCCCTCAGCGGTACCTGGGACTGATCCTGGAGTGTGGAGGAACCAGCGGCTACTCCTCAGCGGTACCTGGGACTGATCGTGGAGTGCGGAGGAACCAGCGGCTACCCCTCAGCCATACTTGGGGCTAATCCTGGAGTGGGGAGGAACCAGGGGCTACCCCTCAGAGGTACCTGGGACTGATCCTGGAGTGCGGAGGAACCAGCGGCTACCCCTCAGCCATACTTGGGGCTAATCCTGGAGTGCGGAGGAACCAGGGGCTACCCCTCAGCCGTACCTGGGACTGATTCCGGAGCTGCCACGCAGGGTTGTGGCAGCACTGACTGAAGGTATGAGAACAGATTCTCATCCTTATGGTTTTCCATGGGAATTGGTGATACAAGCAGCTGTTGTTGGATTTTTTGCTGTTCTCCTTTTTCTGTGGCGAACTTTTAGATCGGTTAGGAGTCGGCTTTATGTGAGAAGAGAGAAAAAACTTGCTGTGGAGCTTTCTGGACTAATTGAAGAAAAATGTAAACTACTCGAAAAATTTAGCCTTGTTGAAAAAGAGTATGAAGACTATGAAGTTGAGTCATCTTTAGAGGATGCCGGCTTTGAGAAGGCGGCAGCAGAAGCACGAAGTTTGGAGGCAACCTGTGAAAAGCTGAACAGGGCAAATTCTGAGCTTGAGCATGAAATATTCTGTCTAGAAAAAGAGTTAAAAGAAGAGAAATCTAAACATTCTGAACAAAATGAATTGATGGCGGATATTTCCAAAAGCATACAGTCGCTGGAATATGAGTCGAAATCCCTCAAATCACAAGTAGCTGAAGCCAAAGTGACCTTCACAACATGTCAAATGAATGAAGAACGACTGAAGATAGCAACAAAAGATGCTTTGAATGAAAATTCTCAACTTCAACGAAGCCAGAAGCAGCTTTTGAAAGAAGCTGAAGTATGGAAAGAACAAGTGAGTGAACTTAAGAAACAGAAAATAACATTTGAAGACTCCAAAGTACATGCAGAACAAGTTCTAAATGACAAAGCAAATCACATCAAGACTCTGACTGAACGCTTGCTAAAGATGAAAGATTGGCCTGGGAGGCTTGGAGAAGACATAACCGATGATGATAACTTAGAAGTGAACAGTGAATCGGAAGATGGTGCTCACTTAGATGATCCTTCAAAAGGAGCTTTGAAGAAGCTGATCCATGCTACTGAGTTAAATGCTTCTTTAAAAACCTTAGAAGAAGAAAGAAACCAAATTTATATTCAGTTATCTGAAGCTGATAAAACAAAGGAAGAGCTTACAGAGCGTATTAAACATCTTCAGACTGAACAAGCATCTTTGCAGTCAGAAAACACACATTTTGAAAGTGAGAATCAGAAGCTTCAACAGAATCTTAAAGTAATGACTGAATTATATCAAGAAAACGAAATGAGCCTCAACAGGAAATTAATAGTAGAGGAAAAAAGGCGGTTAGAGAAAGAAGAGAAACTTTCTAAAGTAGACGAAATGATCAGCCATGCCACTAAAGAGCTGGAGACCTATAGACAGCGAGACAAAGATCTTAAAGAATTTGAGAAAACTATTCCTTTTTATCAAAGGAAGGCTATTTCCCACGAGGAAAAAGCACGTCATAATTGGTTGGCAGCTCGGGCTGCTGAAAGAAACCTCAACAATTTAAGGAAAGAAAATGCCCACAACAGACAAAAATTAGCTGAAACAGAGTATAAAATAAAGCTTCTAGAAAAGGATCCGTATGCACTTGATGTGCCAAATATGGCATTTGGCAGAGAGCGTTCCCCATATGGTCCCTCATCACTGGGTCAGCCTACCCCTGAAACGAGAGCTTTTCTCTATCCTCCAACTCTGCTGGAGGGTCCACTCAGACTCTCACCTCTGCCTCCAAGGGAAGAAAGAAGAGGCTCAAGAGGCCCAGGGAATCCTCCGGACCATCAGATTGCCAATGAAAGAGGAGAATCAAGCTGTGAGAGGTTAACCCGTCCTCACAGGGCTCCTTCTGACACTGGGCCCCTGCCATCTCTGTGGGAACAGGACCGTAGGATGATGTTTCCTCCACCAGGACAATCATATCCTGATTCAGCTCCTCCTCCCCAAAGGGAAGACAGATTTTATTCTAACTCTGCTAGACGCTCTGGACCAGCAGAACTCAGAAGTATGAATATGCCTTCTTTGGATAAAATGGATGGGTCAATGCCTTCAGAAATGGAATCCAGTAGAAATGATATCAAAGATGATCCTGGGAATTTAAATGTGCCTGATTCATCTCTGCCCACTGAAAAAGAAGCAACTGGCCCTGGCTTTATTCGTCCACCTCTTGCTCCAATCAGAGGTCCATTGTTTCCAGTGGATACAAGAGGCCCGTTCATGAGAAGAGGACCTCCTTTCCCTCCACCTCCTCCAGGAACCAGGTTTGGAGCTCCTCGAGATTATTTTCCACCAAGGTATTTCCCAGGTCCACGACATGCTCCATTTGCAGTGAGAAACGTCTATCCACCGAGGGGTTTTCCTCCTTACCTTCCCCCAAGACCTGGATTTCTCCCCCCACCCCCACATTCTGAAGGTTGAAGTGAGTTCCCTTCAGGGCTCAGTCTGCCTTCAAATGAGCCTGCTACTGAACATCCAGAACCACAGCAAGAAACCTGACAATATTTTTGCTCTCTTCAAAAGTCATTTTGACTGATCTCGTTTTCAATTTTAAGTAACGGCTGTTACTTAAGTGATTACACTTTTGCTCAAATTGAAACTTAATGGAATTATAATTCTCAGGATAGTATTTTGTAAATAAGGATGATTTACATATGAATCTTATGAATAAATTGTTTTCATTTTATTTTATTCTAAATAGTATAATTATTTTAATTTGATTAATCTACTATTATATAAAATTAGTGGGAGTTTTACATATGTAATCTTGCAGGTCAGGAGGCTTTACATTCTAAAGGCCTTGTCTTTTGCCAAGAACTGTATTTACTGTGACTGTAGACAAATGTGTAAGTAACTTTATACTTAATTAAATAAATTTTAGTTGATTTAATAAATAAAAAAAAAGAAAGAAAGAAAAGGGAGGTGAGAAGACAGAGGCTGAGCACCTTGTGGACTTAGGTGCTGGATGCATAGCGTGCTCATGCTCAGGGCTGGGGTCACTCTCTCATTCTTGTGCCCCGGGTTGAAGCACACAGCAAGGACAGACCCAGACACTAGGCATTGAGTCAGTTCATGGGAGGGGCCGACCGTTCCGAGCTCAGTCTATGCTGAAGGTCCCTAGAGTCCCGGGCCCTTCTGTCCACAGCCTCATCAGTGTGAGCTCTTGACTTCAGTTCCCACAGAAGCATAGATGCCGACAGCAGCGTTTGTGTGGGATTCCGGAAAATGGGCCCAGCTTGTGGATCTGTAGGTGAAGACTCACCAAATTCTGAGTTGTTGCAGCTTAGAATATAGTGCGGACATCAGGATAATCGTTTGGATCTCTCAACAAGAAAGGGATTTTATAAGATGGCAAATACTATAAAATGTGTTAAATAGCAGAGTAAAAAGGCTGAATAGCGAATAGGAGATTGAGATTAGAGAAGAACGGGGAATAGCAGTTATAGGAGGCGCCAGACATATAAAAATGCGAGCACGTGAGAAGTCGTCATAACTTTATTCTTTTAATCACTGAGGGGAAGTGTTTTTTGTCCAATTTTCCTATCAAGTCTTCATACCACTTTTATAACCAAACAGCGTTTTCCAGTAATGGAAGGAAACAGTCCCCAAGCCAGTCCCAGGCAGTGGCGACTTGGGTGGTTAATCCTGAGTGGGGTGGCTTGGCTGGATCCCGATTTTAGGCTGACGTTCTGCATGAATCCAGATGACCTCCTGGCTCCTGGCAGTCTGGCCTGCTCACTGTGGATTGGGGGTGTCCTTTCCTGGCCCGCGGAGGGATGTGATAATGCTGAGGTGTCTGCACGAGCGGAGGCAGAGGGCATGTTCTATAAACGGTCACTATGGTCATGAACACAATCAGGGGCTGGGGTTGCTGGCAGCATTAGTTCCATGGGTGTACTCCTTATCTGAGATGCATCATTTTTTTGTTAAGTTAAAATATATTGTCTTCGTATAAGTTTTCGAGGGCTGCCAGTAAGAACCACAGCCTGGGTGACCTAAACAGCAGGATTTTGTCGTCTCCATGGCCTGGATGTCCGACGTCCGAGATCAAGGTGCTGCAGGGCTGTGAGTTCTCTGAAGAAGCCGGGAAAGGGTGTGCTCCAGGCCTCTCTCCGTAGCCTGCAGACGGCCATCTTCGTCTTCCCCTCTGTGCC